GAGGAGAAGAGAAGAAGAAGGAGGTAGAGAAGAAGAAGAAGAAGAAGGAGGAGGAGGAGGAGGAAAAAAGAAGAAGAAGAAGAAGAAGAAGGAGGTAGAGAAGACGAAGAAGAAGAAGGAGGAGGAGGAAAAGAAGAAGAAGAAGAAGAAGAGGGATGAGGTAAAAAAAGAAGAAGAAAAAGAAGAAGAAGAGGGAGGAGGTAAAAAAGAAGAAGAAGAAGAAGAAGAAGAAGAAGAAGAAGAAGAAGAAGAAGAAGAAGAAGAAGAAAAAAGAAGGAGGAGGAGGAGGAAAAAAAAAAGAAGAAGAAGAAGAAGAAGAAGAAGAATTTTATCCCGGACATGTCATCATTGTTTACAAAGAAGTGTCTGCCTCAAGGAGGAAATGGAAACTATTTTCCCAATAATATGTTTCGTGCGATAATTTAAAATATTTGTTTTGAAAAAAAATTCAAACACACAAGGGCAAAAATCGGGAATACTGAAGGTAAAAGAAAAAAGAAATGTGTAATAAACGATATTTAATATGCGAATATTCCAACCCATCAGCTGGCCCAGCCGGAATCTTATAGATTTTGGCACGAACTTCTCCAAGACATGTTGTTAAGAGTCATAATTGTAGAGGTCGTTGAATTTGTATAGACCAATTATATCTATAAATATCACTATCAATTTTCTGTCTCCAAACGTGGTCCGAAGTTCATTGAAATCTATAAGATAAGGGGGGAGGTATATATAGAATAAGATAGGGCGGTTACTATAGTAAAAAGAGATACGTGGGTGTGTGGGTGTGAGAGAGAGAGTTTGTATATATAAAGAGGACAGGCTGATAAAGAGATTTATATATATATATATATGAAGAAGTTTTAAGGTGTGCTATATTTATGGGATAAAGTTCTCACTATCAGAGATAGAGGGTGCGTATAAAAGTCAACACTTGAAGTTAACACTTAGAGGCAACAGTCTGTGTCATGCTAGATGCAATCGTCAGGCCACAGGTGGCAAGATTTTATATTAAAAAGATCTATTGGATTATCCTTACCACTTACAGACTTGATATTATTGTCTCTGTCTGTCTGTCTGTCTGTCTGTCTGTCTGTCTCTCTCTCTCTCTCTCTCTATATATATATATATATATATATATATATATATATATATATATATATATATGAATAAAATGAAAGAACACTAAGATATATAATCCGGTGTTCTTATTGATATTTTGATTTTTATAAAATTAGCTTGAGGTTGAAATGGAAATAATATTTTTTTAATGGAACTAATGTTTTTTTACAAAATTATATTTGAAGGTTTTAGCTTACATTTTTGAAACATGGTTATTTACTGTGTAGCGAAAAAAACATATTTTAAATCAGTTAATATATATATATATATATGTGTGTGTGTATTTCAAAAGCAAATGTCGATCAAATTTTCTGAAATAGAAGAGGGAGGGCGGGGAACGAGGCTAATATCAATAGCAATGATAGGAGACAAATTAAACTTGAGATCCTCATTGGTTAAAATAAATATCAGCAGGAAAACTGATTGGTAGAAAATCCAGCAACTAGCCCCATGAGAACACATTCAGATCTCGATATATAAAGTACCCAGATTGCTGGCCAGGATAGCAGTAGTTCACGGCAAGGAAAGAAAATCTGTTGTCAATACTGAGGAGGCATTCTTATGAGCGCTACCGCGTAGTGCTTTAAACATATATATATATATATATATATATATATATATATATATATATATATAGAGAGAGAGAGAGAAAGAGAGAGTTTTAATTAGTGCTCTATTTCACTGTAAAAGTGCTTAATATCATGGATAAAGTATTTGTAAATATAAATGTGACCACGGCAGTCAAAACGACGACAGTCTGTTTCATAATTGAGCGCATGTCTGTTACGTGTTAGCTCGACTATATATATATATATATATATATATATATATATATATATATATATATATATATATATATATATATATAGATACATATATATATATATATATATATATATATATATATAGATACATATATATATACATATATATATATATATACATATTCATATATATACATATATACATATATATACATATATATATATATATATACACATACACACACACACACACACATATATATATATATATATATATATATATATATGCGTGTGTGTGTGTGTGTGTGTGTATTGCACATATTGATATAATAGGAAATAACTGTTAGATTGATGATCCGAAGTTATTTAGTATTATTGTTTTTATTTTAAAAACAGTGGTTAAGGTTTAATATAAAATTAAAATTAAATACTACTGACCAGTTTGTAAACAGTCATTTCTGTGTAGCGATGGAATCATATTTTAAAAAAAAATATATATATATATATATATATATATATATATATATATATATATATATATATATATAGTAATGATACAATATGGTAATCCGTATGGAATTTCCAGCAGGATATAGATCCAGGGAGAGCTCTATGTCAAAAGACAGAGCAAAAATTATTATCAATTAAAGAATATCAAATTAAGTATTTGATATTCTTTAATTAATAATAATAATAATAATAATAATAACAATATATATATATATATATATATATATATATATATATATATATATATATATATATATATATATATATATATATATATATATATATATATATATATATATATATATATATACCCAATTATAGGATTGATGTATACCAAATAAATTCCAATAGTCAACAGATACTATTCTCGATACACATTAGAGCAAATATAACCATTTATACGAAAATTATGACATAAAAATGTTATAAAATCACTACGAAAATAGCCATTTTGTTTCAACATTTCTGGTGTCTTATCAATTGATAAGACATTTTGTAGTGATTTTATAACATTTATGTCATAAATTACGTATAAATAATTATATATATATATATATATAGATATATATATATATATATATATATATATATATATATATATATATAAATTGAATATTACCAGAATATATATATATATATATATATATATATATATATATATATATATATATATATATAAATTGAATGTTACTAGAATGATTGTAAAATGGTACTTGTATAATTTTAGATAGATAAGGTTTAACTAAAAAGACTGTCAACTTATAACTAGGCTGGGATTCTGTTGTCAGATTCATAAGAATATAAGTATGGGTAGCTCAGATTATTCCGAAATATAGATCACTATTTTTACGCTCTCGTTATTTCGATCGAGCACCATTGAGAAAAAGATAATTCCAAAACAGTAACCGTTACCGCTATTAACGCACAGCTCTTCATTAATAAATTGAGCACTCTGGATGCTAGCGTTTGTATACATTCGTTAATAGTACCTTAGAATTTCCTTTTCTCTTTGACGTGCGCCGATAGTTTAGGGTTAGGATCTTCGACTAATGCCAAATCAGTAGGGTTTCGATCCCGGCTTGAAACAATCGGATGTCTAGCCACACTGATGCGCTGTAAATGACTATATATAAATATATATATATATATATATATATATATATATATATATATATATATGTGTGTGTGTGTGTGTGTGTGTGTGTGTGTGTGTGTATGTGTGTCTGCTTCTGTGTGTAGGATATAGAACCCGAACAAAAGTAGAGAATTGAGAAAGTAGAAACGTTTTCTAATGACAACAGGTTTTGCATTTAGATAGGTCAATCAAAGACAAATCTATTTGTCTTGCTTATATATATCTTTATATATATATATATATATATATATATATATATATATATATATATATATATATTACACTATCGTCATTTGAACAAGCACTATTGAGAAGAAGATAATTCCAAAACATTAGCCGTCACCGCTATTAACGCACCGCTCTTCATTAATGAATTGAACACTCTGGCTGCTGACATTTGTTTACATACTTATATAATTCGAGAGAGTTTTCCTTTTCTCTGCCATGCAGCAGCTTAGGATCTCCGACTGATGCTAAATCGGGTTACGATCCTGGCTTTTAAGCAATCGGATGTCTAGCCACAGCCAAAGAAGCTTGTATGAGGATATATATATATATATATATATATATATATATATATATATATATATGTGTGTGTGTGTGTGTGTGTGTGTATGTGTGTATTTAGGCAGCAAATTCTCTTTCAAGCATGTCTGAATAACTTACAAACGTTTTGTTCGCTTATTTTGATCATAACCCTTCATAATCACGAATATTTTTTGCGTATATTACAATTAAATGAGGTAAGTCATACATCGTGACAGTGAGAATCACTTTTATTCCCCAGGTACTTTGCATCTCTTTCTGTGATCATCATCAGGAGTGCAATTGGTAAAGTTTTAAAGACACACAACAAAAGAATCCAGTAATGTGTATGCCTCTTTTCCACGCGATCAAAACGAAATGAAAAAATGATTAAGAAAAAAGACTTGTCGTATATCTGCTTTTCTTATCTAAACAAAATGTCATAACCTTTATCTACAAATAAAACCATATCGCAGTGACAATTTACAACATATAACTTATTATTTATGTGGTAATATGAACGCTTTGGCATTTTATTACCTTCTTTTTATTCTGTGTATAAATTAGCGTTACATACATAGATTTTTCATTTCTTCCAAGATCTTTTTTCAAAATATGTTTTTCTATTTTGAAAATAACGTTCTCCGCTCAAATGCCATTCGCGTACGATCTCCGAAGTTAAGCAACGTCCTGGTCAGTACCCAGATGGGTGACCGCTTGGGAATACCAGGTGCTGTAAGCATGGATGTGCGTAATGTTTAATAGGAGAGCCGAGTTTCGATTTCAGTCGGGTTGGTTGTATTCACTTACGCGCAAATACTTTTGAAAAAGGTATGACTCCGTCTGTTCTTTCCCCTAGCTATGGTTTAATTAGTAAGACTTATATCACTAAATCATGATCTTACAAAAAAAAAAAAAAAGCAAAGAAAATTCTTAAACTCTAAAAACATTTTCTGGCTTTAAATAACCTGCAAAGGGTTGATAAGCCGTAAAAACGAACGAATGAACCAACCAACAGTTCTTATGGAAATCTCATTAAATCACGGCTGCTTTCTTTAAAACATTTCACGTTTGGTGAACAGTTTTTTTTTTGTTTTTTTTAAGCGTTTCACCCCAAGCAAGGTGGAAAGCCACTAGGACGCAAGGGGTTACAGAAAATTTGGAGCAAGATCAGATAGGAGTGATAGAAGAAAGGATGAGGAGAAGGGTAGTGGATGCATCAAGGCAACTGGAGATGCAGAGGCCAGTAGAGAGAGAGAGAGAGAGAGAGAGAGAGAGAGAGAGAGTACCGGGAACCCCTTCCTAAACAAGAAACAAGGCGTAAGCCTCTACTCTTGTCCAAGAGAAGGGGGAGGAGTTGCGACAATTTCAAAGTATCGAAAATTTCCTCGATGAATTCATGAAATCAAAACCGGAATCGTTCTCACGTAACAGTATACACTCCTTATCTGAAATGTGACGAATGTTCGTAAAGAGTCTGAAAAAAAATACTTGATGACTGAATAATAATGATATAAATTAATAGGTTTGGTTTAGTTTGTTTTACGGCATATCAACACCTCAATGGGTTATTTAATGCCGACAAATTTTTTATTGCTGGTAATATGTTTTTCTTCAAAAATCTTTTTCCTGGGAATATTTTTCCTTGAAGAAATCTATAGCTGGTCATATTTTTTTCCAAAGAATGTATAGCTGTTTGTATTGCTCGTACTTTTTTTTTAAAGTATTGTTGATAATAATTTTTCCTTCAAAAATTATTGATGGTAATATTTTTTTTTTATTACAAAGTATCTTTGTTATTAAAACCTGTTTTTACACAAGTTTGGGTGTCAACTATTTGCCCATAGCAAGAATCCTAACAGGTGCTACCACCTCAGGTCAGGGTGGACCTGGGAACACCAACAATTAAGAGCTGATTCCATGATCCTCAAAACCTCCTGATCAGAGGCCTTGCTGTTGGACGTAGTTTATCGACTTACCCAGGACGCGGATGTAGTTTATCGTCATACCCAGGACGGAAATTAATAGGTAATTTTTGTTTTATACAATTTGATCACTAGAGGTCATCGGGGATAGATTAACTGTTGTTTCCTTTTTGTTAAAGACATTTAATCATCAAAGACCATTTGAACTCCTTTGGGGGTTTCATTTAATGCCGACTAGAGGTAGTTAGGTTTCTTCTTGCGAAGTGCTTTCTTTTGATCGCTATCATAAATGCATATATAAATGTTCGTAAAAAGCCTCGTCTATTACAGATTTTTTCAAAGCACAAAGTCGGAAAAATCAACTAATGGGCAGTTAGTGCTCGATACACGGAAAGGCGATATTCAGCGTCTACGACGAGACGGAAATTGCCTTGGTAAATCGAATAGCCACTTCAATCGAGGGTGTCGGAACACATCGCGTACACTCGTGTATAAATCAACCTTTGGTTTCAATGTCTTTTCAATATATTAGGGCTTTAAAAAGGATATTTTCAAAGTATATTTAAATATATGCAAAAAAAGATATGGGTTAAATAGTAGAATAGAAAAATCGAGAAAAAAAATCCTTGTTATTTTACAAAAAAAATCACTTGCAAGAAAAGAATTATTCGTACTAACCAAATTATATTTCGGCTACAAATAACCTACAAAGGTTTGATAAGCGGTAAAATCGAATATAAATCTTCACTGTGCTCTCTCTCTCTCTCTCTTTGGGTGTCGTGTCTTATGGCGATCATTTTTTTCTACAAAACTTATTAGCGTAATGCTCATAGTTTGTACAATCTTTTGGTGATTTGTCAACAGGATTTCAATAAAACTGGGTTGAATTTCTGCTTGAAAGTTATTTCAAATTAATCTTAAAGTATGATCACCGTCATCACAAACAGAGGACGTAAAATTAAGTGTTAAATGCAGTTCACTGAAGTGTACCTAATAATTTTGTTTTATTAGTTTTCATTAAATTTACCAATAAATTCTTCCTGGGTAGGACGATAAACTACATCGGCGTCCTGGATAAGACAATAAACTACGTCCAAAAGAAAGGCCACTGATCGGGCGGTTTTGAGGAGCGTGGAACCACTTTTGAACTGCTAGTGTTTCCAGGTCCACCCTGACTCTGGGTGGTAGCACCTGTCAGGGTCCTAGCTACGGGTAAATAGTTAATCCGCAAACTGGGCTCAAAACACTATGAAATTGTAAAAGTAGGTCTTAATACCAGAAATGCTTTGTAAAAAAAAAAAAAAAAAAAAAATTGTTACCAGTAATACATTATTATCAGCAATAGATATAGGCAACAAAAAAAAAAAAAAAAGAAAAATATGTTCCAGCAATACTTTTGAAAAAAGAATATCAGAAATAGATTTTTTTGAAGAAAAAATATTACTAGCAATACATGTTTGAAAAAAAAATATTACCAGCAATAAAAATCTTGTCGGCATTAAATAACGCATTGAGGTTGATATGCCGTAAAACAAAACAAACCAAACATATATATATATATTGAGATAGATAGATAGATAGATAGATAGATAGATAGATAGATAGATAGATAGATAGATAAAAAATATTACCAGCAATAAAAATTTTGTCGGCATTAAATAACCCATTGAGGTTGATATGCCGTAAAACAAAACAAACCAAACAGATAGATAGATAGATAGATAGATAGATAGATAGATAGATAGAAAATATTACCAGCAATAAAAAATTTGTTGGCATTAAATAACCTATTGAGGTTGATATGCCGTAAAACAAACCAAACCAAACCAACCAATAAATGTGTGCATATAAAAAGTTTTCTTTGTTTCTGCTTCGGTATAACACTAAACATTTATCATGTTCAATTCAGTTTTTAGGTTTGTTAGAAAGTATGTATCTTTGGGTGTAAATATATATACAGAGTATATCAAAAATACTTTTTACAAATTTTCGGTGTGGGCTCCTAACACCAAAACAAGGACAAAAGTCATATGTCCTCATATTCTTCGTTTTTGAGTTAAGTTTAAAGTTTACGGTAGAAGCTTTTAAATGTACAATCCAAGATATAACCAAAAAATGCTTTTAAAAATGTTGGTTGTGGGTTCCTGATGCCAAAGCATATTAAAATGTCCATATAAGATATGTCCAAAAGGCCATTGTTGTAACTCAACACAGCAACTTGACTGGCGGAATCTTTCAAATACTCCTACATGTTGTCGCAGGCCCCCATAACGTGTTGATGAAGCGTCTCTGCATTATTGTCTGCTCCATAAACCAATTGTTTTAGGTGACTTCCCAGTTAAAAAATCCAAAAGACTGAGATCCGGACGTGTAAGCCATAGAAACTGACCTCCCCTACACCCTTTCATGGTAGATGTCATCCAGTGAATCACAAACAATGTGACTAAAATATGCTGGAGCGCTTTCGTATTAGCAGGGGTATATCCTCTAGCAGGTCTGGAATGTTCGAAATCAAGTAAAAATAAAATAGACAGCTCCTGTAAGACGTGAGAACATAAGGACCTACCAGACAGTCACCTACAATTCCAGTCCACACTTTAATCGTAAACTGATGCTGGTGTCTAGATTGTATTGTACCATTGCCTTTTCGATCCGCCCACAAATGTTGGTTTTGGAAATTTGTTTTTGCATTTCTTCCATTTCTTAATAAGACTGAAGAGATAAACAACGGCTCGGCAGTTTGTGCGATAAACCATTAGCAAAAGTTCTCCCGTGGTGAATAATCAGAGGGCGAAAGACCCTACACAAGGTGCAAATGATGCTGATACGGGAGATGCACCTGGGGTACCTTCCATGCGGTACTATGAGATGAACGAAATGCTAGGGCAACACAGCGACACCTACAGTAAACTTTCTTTAAATTTAATAACATAAAAACAAAGGATTTGTGGATATTTGCTTATATGGACCTTTGCCCTTGTTTTTTTGTAAGGAACACGCCCGCAAATTTTATAAATGTATTTTGATACACCCATATATATATATATATATATATATATATATATATATATATATATATATATATATATATATATCCCACCAGAGAGAAAGCGTGAATTTAATTTGTATATAATGACTACTACTGCTAATACTGCAATGCTCTTCTATGAATTGAGCACTGTCGGTTATTGCCGTGTTTATTCGAAGAATAGGTACGTAAAACTTCGCCTTCCCCCCTCTACCGGGCGCTGATAGCTAAGGGAGAAAATCCCGACTAATGCCAAACCAGTCAGGTTTCAATCTCAATTTCAGACAATGGGATCCCCATTGGTGAGTTTTTTTTTCTTAAAAGAGACATTGAATTTTTTTCCCGCATAATTCCGTGTTATTGTTTTGTTATATCTGGTATGATTTTTTTTTTAACTATTTCATTTCGATATATGTTATATTTTTAGATGTTCCATTTTGACTCATTGACCAGATTACCGTATTTGACGGTATATAAGACGCACGGGTGTATAAGACGCACGGGTGTATAAGACACACGGGTGTATAAGACGTACGGGTGTATAAGACGCAACCCAATTACAGCAAGGCAAATCAAGAAAAAATAGTAATTAGTAAAATTATTAGTAAATAGTAACCTAGGCTATATTTATGAGGCATTATTTTGGTTAAACAAGACAAGATTACAATTAAACGAAAAATAATAAGACAAAGGAACAAGAGCCTATAAAAAATTTATTATATCCTGTATATAATCTGTGCAACCTATGTCTTGTAAACGTCTTATAATAAAAATTATTCAAATAATTCGGATATAAAAATTCTGATTGTATTTATACCAATGCAACGGGAAATTATCGCAATAAAAATATTAACGAAACAAATATATTTTGGAAATATATAATTTGAATTTATTGCATATAATTTTAGTGAAACAAAGTACTAAGATTAAATTGATGAAATTAATATAATGAATATTATCAAAAAAAGAAAAAATAAATGATAAAAAATAGTTGCTGAAAACATTAGGTTTATAATACCCAGAAATTTACACACAGCTGTACTCAAGGAGAGATCGCACAGTGGATAAAGGCGTTAGTTAGATCCAGTGACAGGATCTAAAGATTGTGAGTTCAATACCTGGTTAAGATGGTAGAGAACTTGAATAACTTGGCGATAACTAGAACAGTCTACCTCAGTGAGCGAAATAAAGGGCTCAGTTCGACATTCCAACCACCTAAAGAACACCGGAGAACGTTGTAATAAATATATGAGAACGATAGCAATTACGACTGAGTAGTGAGTTCGATCCTCACTGGGTGCCCCATACATTAGGCCTTGTGCCACATCTGAGCTACGCTTGGAAAATCAGCAGATGAGAACGATAGTCCGAATAATGTAAATAACGTACATAATACCTCATCTCAGAAATATAGACATATACTGATAACATTTTAATCTGCATAATAGCCTTTTAAATAATGACAATAGGTATATAAAAGTTACTCTAAAGTCTAAGCTTATAGAAGTTGCCTGGTAGCTAATTTCGACCGACTATTCTGAATTTTAAGCCTATGTATGGCTGGGGAATTTTAAAATATACTAGCAGTAGTGCCCGGCGTTGACGGGGAAGTAACAGTAAGAGACACATTAAGTATCGACCATCATAAAGACTGAAAAATAAAATTGACAAAGATTATTGTTTAAGGTTGACGGACTCGCATGTCTTAATTAGGTTTTTTGTTTTGTTTTGTTTTTTTTTTTCTACAAATTGGTCAAACTCAAACAAAAACACTACCTGCCAAAAAAAAAGTAAAGTTTTGTTGAAATCGGCTGAAAAAATGATAGGATATATCCGATCCCACACACACACACACACACACACACACACACACACACACACACACACACACACACACAATTTGCGTTTTATAATAAGTAAGATTTTTAGTAAAAAAAAGAGTGCGTCTTATATGCCGTCAAATACGGTACTTCTAATTTAAACAATAGAAACTAAACTATAAACTGAATAAAAAGACTTTTTTTTTAATTATGTGACTGGATAACCTTTGTATATACGTTAACAATCCATCGCATTCTGCTACAGAAACACACACACACACACACACATATACAGTTACACATTTACAGATTAATGGTACGGAATCATTCACGCAGACGTTTTCTTTGGAACACGTGTTCTTCGTGGACTGCTGCTTTTATATGTTCTTGCTTCTATACGAAACCCTTTGAGGTTCATATTCCTTAAAGAATCGTTTCGATAACGCTTTCTCTGATTGTTTTTTCGATATATTCTACTAACGGTAAATATTCCAAGCTTTATTCTTTCCCTGTGAATGCCATAAATTTCCAGATGATTTTTAGCAACAGTTACTTTCTAGATTCTTTTCGCCTGAAAACACCTGAGATTCCCAAATCCTATTCTCAGTTCTCAACATTCGTCGATAAAAAAAAAAACAACAACAACAAAAAACAAAACAAAAAACAAAAAAAAAAAAAAACAGATCTCAAGCCTTTTCCTTAACTTTTAGGGGATTTGTCTAGGATTCCTTTTTTGGCAAACATGGATAAACATGCCCGCAATAAAAATATTAATGAAACAAATATATTTTGGAAATATATAATTTGAATTTATTGCATATAATTTTAGTGAAACAACGTACTAATATTAAATTGATTAAATTAATATAATGAATATTATAAAAAAATTGTTGCTGAAGACATTAGGTTTATAATACACAGAAATTCATAGACAGATGGGTACATGGAGCAGTGGATGAATGCGTTGGCTAAATCCAGCGACAGGACCCAAAGAGTGTGAGTTCAATACCTGCTGAAGTCGTTGGAGAACTTGGCGATAACAGATAGCTGACGTATACACACACTGATAAATGATTTCTTTTTCCTTGCAGAAACCAAATCATTTTAAATTTCTTAACAATCAAAAAGTACCAACATTTCTTAACAACATTCCTGGACAAACATTCCGTATGACATTGTCTCAATTATCGCAACAGCAAACATTGTAATTGTTGTTACATGGATATTTTATTGTTGATATAAAAAGTTCTTTAATGTTAAATCTTTAACAACAGTATTTAGTGGTTTCTTGCCATGTAATTTGTTCTTAAATTGTTTGTATAACCTATATTTTGTGAGACACAGACGCTATAAGCACTCATCACCTTCATCTTTACTTAATTTTGCCTTCTGATATATTTTATTCTGTGTACATTCCGCAACAAATTTAAACATTTGCTTTTTTTTTGTTCGTCAGAATTCAAAAGAAAATTATTAAATGATCTTTATTATATTGTTTATTTTCAAAAATAATTTTATATTCACAGCATTCTAAAAAAATAATACAATGGAAACTAACACAATGCAATATTTATGATTTACCAATTTATAAAGAAATAAATGTGAAAACAATTTTTTATTCATAAATTTATAAACATTTACTAAATTATTAAAATATTTAAACCAACATTT